TCTGCAGGGAAGCAAAGAAATCTGTGGGGGACATAAATTCTGCACGTGCACAGTGGTGCAGAATTCCCCCAAGAGTAATACTGAATATGTATTTATTTAGATTTAAGAAAGATGCCTTTACAAGAGCTCTAGATACCCTGACACTTAATTTTACAACTGCACAAAACAGCCACTAGCAAGGCCATTGCTGTGAAGACATTTGCCTGCCCCAGGGAAATGGCCTGGAATAGCTACTGCAGAGGGAGCTATTTTGCAAGAGCTGGGCCAGAATAGCTCCTGTGAGGATGCTATTCCAGAAGAAAAGACACTGGGTCTAGACCAGCGGTTCTCAAACTTCATTGGACCGTGACCTCCTTCTGACAACAAAAATTACTACACTACCTACTCCTCTGGGAATTCTGTGCCAAAAATTTAAAAATTCTGCATCAAAAAATTAAAAATTCTGTGCACAGTATTTTAAAATTCTGCAAAATTCTGTATATTTTTGTCAAAATAACACACTATGATCAAGTTGGTTTCAATTATTTTGGTAATTTATTTAAACTACAGTACAATGGATGGAGAATGGGAGTGGGGAGCATTGGAGGAAATCACCAAACCCCTCTGTCTAATAGTAATGGAGCTAGTATTGATCCTTTACTTCTAGTTCTTAGTCAACAAATATATGCCGCCATATGCTCAATGTTACATCATAGGCAACTGAAGAGCAAGTGAGGGCTGGGGACCCAAACTCACAATTTATACTGACCATCTCCCAAAAGGTAAATTAATGGAGCACATTTTGACAGGACATTTTTTCAGTCCAAAAGTTTAGACCAGTTCTAATCACTAAAGCACCATAAGCATTTATAAAGCCACGCTGTTCTTTACAACAAGGCTCCTTTACATCACTCTGGCAACGTAAAGGAACCTTAACATTTTTACACTGGTTTTTTACTCCTGGGGGAATTCACTAAGAACAATGGGAATAATTCACTAAGCAGGCAGGCTGCTACATTCTGCTCTGCCTGAGGGAACAGAGCCTGCCCCTCGCCTGCATCTTCAGAAACACCCCAAAGCCCTGCCTATCCATGCCGAGCGTGCTGCAATAGGGAGCCAGAGGGAGAGAGCATCTCTCTCTCTCTCTCTCATGCAGAACTGCCCAGGCCCGGTGGTGATTTACATCTCTACCAGCCGCTATGGGTGCCCAAACCAACCTGCCTGCACTCATAGGCACCGACTTCCACTGTGCCTGGTGGGTGCTTGATCCTGGCCCTGCCCCTGCATTGCCCTCCCCCTGCTCCTATTCCACCCCTTCCCCAAAGTCCCCACCCCCTTTTTGCCCCCATTCCACCCTCTTCCCCCAGGTCCCTGCCCCACCTCCTCCCCTCAGTGTGCTGCACCCCTGCTCCTCCCCCTCCCTTCTGGAAGCACCTGGCTGGAAGTGTGGCAGAGGAGCGGGGATGTGGCATCCTTGGGTGGGGGAGGAGGTGGGGTGAGGGGAGCCTGGCTGCTGGTGGGTGCAGAGCACCCACTAATTTTTCCCCATGGGTGCTCCAGCCCCGGAGCACCCACGGAGTCGGTGCCTATGCCTGCACAGCTGGAGAGGTGGGACACATGACCACTCTTGTGGCTTCCCTTTGCTTCCCCCTCAGAAGTTATTTTGCTGTGGGGAAGCAAAGAAATCTGCAGGGGGAATGAATTCTACGCAAGCGCAGTGATGCAGAATTCCCCCAGAAGGGGGGACCAAAGACCGAGCCCACCCTAGCTGCCCTGTCCCAGGCGGGCAAAGCTGAACCCAAGGGCTTCTGCTCTGGGCCGGAACTGTGTAACCTTAGCCCTGGGACTTGGACTTGCTGAGGCCCAGGGCCAACACCAGCCTTGGTGACCCCATTAAAATGTTTGAGAACCCGACTGACTAGTGCACTGCCAGCGTGGACGGGGCAGCGCCCAGGCAGGGAGCCAGGCCGCCACAGCTAGTCGAGGCCATTCCCTGGGGAAGACAAGGACACACGTTCTTCGCACATTAGCTACGCGCGAGTGGCGCGCAGCGGGGGGCGGCTGCAGCCTGCAGCCCACTAAGCCCTCACCCTGGCAGAAGGCTAAAGCCAGCTCCCCATGGCCTCGCCAGCCCCGTCCTCCTCCCTCTGAGCCGCTGGCAACCGTTTCCATAGCGACCAAGGCCCGCCGCAAGATGGCGGCCGCGCTGAGGCGGCCTCCGCATCGTTTGTCGGGCAGCCCCTGCCCGCCATGATCACTGCTGTTCTCGGGGCCTGCTGCTGCTGCTGGGGTCTGAGTGCCCCACGGGGTGGGCCCAGACCCCGGCCCCGCCAGGGAACCCCGGTGAGTGCTGTTGGGGCTCTGGCAACTATTGGGAGGGGGGGTGCCTAGGTTTGGGAGGGGCCCGTCTCCCTTCGGCCCGGGGCGTCTCCCGCCTGGCTGCCATTCTCCGGTCCGCGGGGCGCTGTTCAGTTCAAACCCTGGGCAGGCCAGGCAGCGGATGAAGCGCAGACACCTGTGTGGGAGAGGCGGCCCAGAGGCTATTGGGGGTGGGGAGGGGCAGGCAGTGACCCATGTGAGAAGTGGGGGGACACGTTGTGGGGGAGCGTTGCCAGTTTTGGTTGGACTATTCCTAGAGATTTAATCACATGACAATATTTAATCCTTGGAGACTCCAGGCCAATCCTGGAGTCTTGGCAACCCCGGGGGGGGGGGGAGGTGGGAAGGCCCAGAGCTCTGTGAGGGAGGTAGGGGGAGAGTCCAGAGAGTCCCATGGGGGAGGCAGAAGATGGGGTTGGTGGAGCAGTGTGGAGGGGTCCGAGACCTGTGGGGGAGCTAGGAGGATGGGATAATGGGGAGGGGTCAGAGAGACCACTGAGGAGGCAGGGTTAGGAGAGTGGGGTGGGGTTACATAGACTCTAAGGAGTGGGGTGTACAGACTGAAGATTAGTCGGACCCATAGGAGAAGCAGGAGGGGAGGGACACTGAATTATGGTAGTGGGGCTCGTAGGGGCAGGTGCTGGACAGGTCACGGTCTTGCGGCTCATGGGAGAGGCAGTGAGAGTTAACCTATGACTAGTGAGTGTTTATATTTTTTGGAGATGGATTGCATGGGACTATTTGGTCATAGAAAATGGGGGACAACAAGGAAGGGTCAGAGAAGGCCAAGGTCTCTCTCTCGTTATGGGTGTACTCTGGAAATCAGGCTTTCAAAAGTGACTCTTCAGTGTGTGAAACCAAAGGTGCTAGTCCTGCCTGGAATATGTTAACATTGGTAAATGTTACTGGATACTAGAGTTTTATTTTGTAGGTTGAGTAACCATACTTTTTTAGGTTTCAGAGTAGCAGCCGTGTTAGTCTGTATCCGCAAAAAGAAGAACAGGAGTACTTGTGGCATCTAAGAGTCTCTTAGGTGCCACAAGTATTCCATACTTTTTTAGGATATCAGAACTTTCTTTTTAATATTAAGCAAAGGCTGCAGACAAGACTCCATAAAATACATGTGTGTCCGGAAGAGTAAGAGAAATTTTGAAATAGCCCTCCACAATCCTTTAGGGGTTTTTTGTTTGTTTGTTTGTTTGGGCCAAGTTTAAATGACCTGTTGAGGCCTTCAGGGAGATTTGAGTGTAGAAAACAAAAATCTGGTGGGCTACTATTCTCTTGGGCTCTATGAGAAACTGATCTTTGTTTATTTTTAATGATTTAAATTAAACTTAGAATGCCAGGGGAAAAAAATCAAGTCGTGTCCACCCCATTTTGTAATAAATATAAGATATTGAGGATATTCTGAATATTAATACCAATTTTTTTTTTTTTTTTTTTTAGTCTTTCAGCCTTCTTTTATCCACATGTCTGGGCCCACAGTCAGTTCATTTTTAGTGGGGAATTCAGCAGATGTTGTTCTGGCTGTAAATGTAATACATGTGAACACCGAGACAGGTGAGATGACTTAAAACCATTACTTTTAAAAATTACAGTCAAACAAATATTAGTTGAAATCTTATTTCCCTTTATGTTCCTAAGATGATTGGATGGAAAATTGTATACCTTGTTTTACAATGGCCTCTGTACTGGATGCTCCAGAGTACTCCCACCACTGACCAAATAAGGCCTTGATCCTACAACCAGCACTGCACAGAGCCCCATTGTCTCCACTGAGGCTTCATGTGGACATGGGACTCTGCCAATGCGGCAAAGTGGATGGTGATTTAAATCACCAAGTGAAAAGCCTCAATTTAAATAATTGATTTTCATCAACTTTTCCATTTGTACTTCAGTAATTTTCTAAAGAAAGGTGTATTCTCAGTGTTTCATATCACCATTAAAACATATTGATTTACAACTAAATAGTCTTTACACTAGATTTGGTACATGTTTTTGCTACCTACAAAAGGGTACAGTATAACTTTATACATTTATTTAAGCAGCTATGTAGCTTAATATTTTCAGATTCTTAATTGTACATTTTTAGTATGTTACAAAATGGTGAATAATATATTGCTTATTTACTAATATTGTGCCATATTTGTAAAACTTGACTTTCAAAAGTTAGATGGTTTTCCCCTGCTTATTTCTTTATAGAGAAAAGCAACCTTTAACTCAAAGTTTTTGAAAGAGGCTCATGGATTCAGCATATTTATTTTTTTATTTCAATGTTATAAGAGATTATAAGTAGTCTAGGCCTTAACATATTTTGTATGAAATTCAGATTTAATTTAAAAAAGGTTTATTTTTAAAAAGAAAAAAATTATTATAATGTAAATAACAAAATTAAAACAAATCAAATTTAAATAAATCTGTGATTTTTATCTATCCTGCCATATGGAGCCAGTTACAGGATTGGGGTTTAACTTTGCTCCATGTGTAGATGAGAATGACGGAAAGCAGCAAAACAAATTTTACCGTTTTTTCTTTTAAATTTAGGAATGTTGCCACTGTTACACTGCAGTGGGAGTAACAGATATGGTGAATGGAGTTTGAATGTTTCTCGTGGTATGGTATGTAAAATACTGATTCTTCACTCTAAAGGTAGGGAGTAGAAGTTTGGTGTATTAAAAGTTAATGTGAAGCTAATTTAATGGTAGCATAAAGAATTCCCATTTTTGATTTCTTGTCTTCATCTCTTCTTGGAATAATAATTCTTGTGGACACTGAAGATTCCATGACATTTTTCATAAGAGTAGGGATTTAGGGGTATGGTATATCCTATGTCAAAATTTAACTCTGTCATGGTGGTTTCCTGCTGCCCTCCCCTCCAGAAGTAGATGCACTTGCTATCTGTCTGTAGTTTGTGAAGGGGATTGAGATCTTTTGAAAGGTGTTATATAAGAATGAAAGGTGCTATGTAAATGCTAGACTATCACTTTTATTTATTCTTATGAATTCTGGAATTTCTGTGGGATACCATGATTTGCATTGCTTGTGGTCAGCCAGAAGTGTTTCTCTAAATTGAGGCCTTGATGGACAGCAAAATTAGTCCAATCCACAGCTGTCAGGACTCTATAAGAAACCAAACATGAATCCTTTTGCTTGTTTTAGGTTTGTGCATGTAAGTTTTGAGGTAGTATAATTCATTTAAGTGTGAGCAAACATCTGTGTAGATATCTGCATACATTTCACAGCTTTGTTTACTTGCAAATCTCAATGCAGATCTTTGTCCCATACAAATATTCTTTTTGATACAATGATATACAGAGGCTTCAATTATAACGCATGTAGCAGAAGGGATACATGCTTGCCCTGCACAAAGCTGATGCAGGATATAACTAAGTATAATCTAGTACATTTAAAAATAGCTGTCAAACTTTAACTGATATTTTTCAGAATGTTTCCAAAGTGACAGTAACCTTGATGAGAAACCTGCAGTTGTGTTTGTCTAACACAACTGATTGCTGCATGGAGCCACTTTGCGTTGTTGAGACTCTTCAAGTTTCTGCTTGCCGTGGTTCAACAGTGTTGGCAAATCTCCTGATTCAAGCTGAAATATATGCCAACTCTTCCTTTACAGGAAATGTGTCAGGTAAATGGTTAGGTAGTTAAAAAGAAATCAGTATTTTGGCTGGTTCTAGTTTCGTTTTTGAATATTTGTATGTATTCCTTGGCACTTCCCAGTGTGCTAACTCTTGTTGCCCCAAACTTTAATGTATTTATAATTTATAGACAAAAGATTAAATCAAACCAACACATTCATTAACATCAGTTGCGCCAGCTAGCATTTCACCCCATAATTTTTTTTACAGTTGTATCTTTTGGGCATTTGCAAAATTGACTTAATAAGGTAATTACAAGCTAAACTACCTTTGCAGTTCCATTGCTTGTGAGGCAAACTAGTAGTAATTGTTTGTTTTTTTTCAATTAATTATCATTATTTTTTTAAAACAGAAGAGAAGTGATGATTAAAATATATTGATGTGGATATCTAACGTCTGATTTATTTTAGCAGTCACTTTCCATCTGTTGAGTTTTAATGGAAACAGGATTATTCTAATCTTTTAGGTTAGACATGTGAAGTTGCCTGTTAGAGGGGAGTCCTTAGTGGGTTTGATTGGGGTGGGTTTGGCCCAAAATGTAAGGTAATTGGAAAACTGGAGATAGGGCAGCAATAAAAGATCCTTGGTACTATTTGTCAATATTTAAAAAAATGTATAAGGTAGGAATAACCTTTAATGCCTACTTTCTCTTTTTAAAAAAAATGTTGTCATATAAATCTGTTAGTGGGATTGCAATGCAAATGAAAATGTTAATTTTATGGCCTAACTTTATTTTATATTATGCTTTTATAGAAAATGCAACAGTCATCCCTAACCAAGTGTTCCAGCCCCTCGGCTCTTGTCCTTGTAACCTGACAGCTGGAATTTGTGATATTCGTTGTTGCTGTGATCTGGTACTGATTACACATTTAATTTTTAAGTTATTCCCTTTAAAGTTTGATGTCACCAGTACTCTTAGGGAAATACAGCAAAGTCCACTAAAATACCTGAGAAATTATTTGTTAAAATATTGTGGATTAGTATCAACTGTCTGTCTTTGAAGAGTAAGTACATCACTTTAAAACAATATAAATAGGGGCTTTCAGTCACTAGAAGTGTCCTAAGCACTAAATTTCACTGGAAACACTGTTTCTGTTATTGCCCTTTGGTTTTTAATGATAGAATTTTAAAAAGGGAAACTTGATATAGTGAAAACGCTTAAAAGGCCATACTCCGCTCAAATGTTATGGCTCTGCTAAATGTGTTATGGAATACAACATTTGTGTCCGTATTTCCATTTTAATCTTAACTCCTCATAGTGCTAGGAGACACTTCTTAAATAACCCTGGTATGTATATCACCTGCCATGAGAGCGCATCCTTGGTGAAGCAGAAAAAAAGCCCTGTCATGTTAAACGACTTCCTTTTTCTTTTTATTTCAAGGAATGCACGCCAGATTTGAAGCAGTTGTTCAGTGGATCATGTTTTGCTGGAGTGTTTGGTGGGAATGTAAACCTGCCTTTTGACCAATTGTGCTCTGTTCAGACAACGAACAGTGCTCCTGACTGGTTTCCCTTCTTGTGTGTACAGTCTTCTCTTAACAATACACCATTTCTTGGCTACTTCTACCATGGCTCTGTGTAAGTTTTAATAAAAAAAAGTCATAGTGAATGTATCGAATAGTTATTATATGCCAAAGAAGTTATGCCACTTGTGTAATGTGAATAATGTTGTTTACAGGAACTATCCAGAACCAACATTTTAAAATATATGCATTATTAAAGTTTTATAGTAAAATGTAACTGTGTATGGTTTTGAGGTAATATGAAAGAGGGAGATTTGAAAGAGATAATGAGTAATTATTTGCATCGGATAGGTGATACACTAATCATTTATTTTTTAAAATTTGTTTGCAGTTCTTCATCTCTAGTTTCTTCATTTAAGATTCCTTTGCAAACTGTTCCAGAAAAACCTTTAAGTGGTTACAAACAAGGAGATCCAATTATGACAACAGAGAATGAGTATTTTACAATTCGTCAGGTAATAGCTTCATGTTAGCAGTATTTGGCTTTTGTTTTTTCTTTCTTTTCCTTATTTGTCAGTCTCACTGTCCGTCTGTCTCACTGTATAGGAACAAAGACAGATACAAGCAATTCTGTGACTAGCTGTTTTGAACTGGTGAAATACACTTTTCAACTAGCACAAAATTCACATTAAAAAAAATAAACATTGTCTTTCTACCATCAATTTTTTCTCATATAAAATTAATATGCTAACTCTTGTTGCCCCAAACTTTAATGTATTTATAATTTATAGACAAAAGATTAAATCAAACCAACACATTCATTAACATCAGTTGCGCCAGCTAGCATTT